AAAACCCTACCTATCACATACCCTTTCTTCTAATCTACACCTGACTCAACCTTTCTGCTCCCTCAGGACCTCTGCATCCTTCCTTTCTTCTCTTCTCATTCTCGTAGCTCCCTCCCCCCTCTTCCCATGCTCTCAATTTGCTCAGGAGATCGTGACCCTTTCCCCTTCTCCAGGGGACAATATTTGTCTCTTTTAGGGTTCTCCTTGTTTACTAGTTTCTCTGGTAGTGTGGATTGTAGGCTGGTAATCCATTACTCTATGTCTAAAATCCACATATGAGTGAGTACATATCATGTTTGTCTTTTTGTGATTGGGTTCCTCACTCAGAATGGTTTCTTTGAGTTCCAGTCATTTTCTTGCAAATTTCAAGATTCCATTTTTTTTTTCTGCTGAGTAGTACTCCACTGTGTAAATGTAACACATTTTCTCTATCCATTCTTTGGTTGAGGGGCATCTAGGCTGCTTCCAGTTTCTGGCTATTACAAATAGAGCTGCTAGGAACATCATTAAACAGATGTCTTTGTTGTATGAATGTACTTCTTTTGGGTATATGCCTAGGAGTGGAATTGCTGGATCTAGTGGTAGACTGATTCCCATTTTCTTGAGGAGTTGCCATACTGATTTCCAAAGAGGCTGTAAGAGTTGGCACTCCCACCAGCAATGGAAAAGTGTTCTCCTTTCTCCACATCCTCTCCAGCATAAACTGTCATTGGTGTTTTTGATTTTAGCCATTCTGACAGTAGTAAGATGGTATCTCAGAGTTGTTTTGATTTGCATTTCCCTGATGGCTAAGGATGTTGAACACTTTCTTATGTGTCTTTCAGCCATTTTAGATTTCTCTATTGAGAATTGTCTATTTAGTTCTGTACCCCACTTTTTAATTGGATTGTTTGGTGTTTTGGAGACTAGCTTCTTGAGTTCTTTGTATATTTTGGAGATTAGCCCTCTGTCAGATGTGGGGTTGGTGAATATCTTTTCCCAGTCTATGGGCTGCCATTTTGTCTTGCTGACTGTGTCCTTTGCCTTACAGAAGCTTCTCAGTTTCAGGAGGTCCCCTTTATCAATTGTTGATCTCAGTGTCTGTGCTACTGGTGTTATGTTCAGGAAGTGGTCTCCTGTACCAATTAATTCAAGGGTATTTCCTACTTTATCTTCTAATAGGTTCAGTGTGTCTGGGTTATATTGAGGTCTTTGATTCATTTTGACTTAAGTTTTGTGCAGGGCAAAAGGCTTGGGTCTATCTGTAGTCTTCTATATATTTGCATCCAGTTATGCCAGCACCATTTGAAGATGTTCTCTTTGTTCCAGCATGTAAATTTGTATTGTTTGTCAAAAATCAGGTGTTCGTAGGTGTGTGGGTTAATATCAGGGTTTTCAATTCTATTCCATTGGTCTACCTGTCTATTTTTGTGCCAATACCAAGCTGTGGTCAGGACTATAGCTCTGTAATAGAGCTTGAAGTCAGGGATGGTGATGCCTCCAGAAGTTCCTCTATGGTACAGGGTTGTTTTGGGTATCCTGGGTCTTTTGTTTCTCCATATAAAGTTGAGAATTGTTCTTTGAAGGTCAGTGAAGAATTGTGTTGGGGTTTTGATGGGGATTGCATTGAATCTGTAGATTGCTTTTGGCAGGATTGCCATTTTTACTATGTTGATCCTGCTTATCCAAGAGCATGGGAGATTATGTGCTTCTTGTATCTGGCATTTCTTTCCCTAGATTTGGGCAATTTTCTCCTATTATTTTATTAAAAATATTTTCTATGCCTTTGGCATGAAATGCTTCTCCTTTTATACCTCAAACTCACAGACCATGGATGTCCCCGTGGCCTCCCATGTTCTGTTCACTGTTTTAGATTTGTCACTGACCTTGACCATGCAATCCAATTCCTCTGCCTTGTCTTCAGGCCTGCTAGTCTGATCCCCACATGAGTTACCTATTGATGATGGTGCCGTCCGCTGAACTCTTATTTGACTTATTGAACTTTTCATTTTAGTCATTTCAGTTTACTTGTTTATTAGAAAAGGAGATGTACATGAGAACACATGTTCCTTTTTTGCTCTAAGTACATAAAGTAGTAAAATAAACCCACAAAAATGAATGAAAATGATTATCAAAATGGGAGGCAAGAAATGGCAGCAAATGTTTGTGAGGAAAAGAGAAAGGTGAACTGTATCTTTTAAAATATTTTTGTTATTCTTGAGTATTTCATACATATATAAAATGAAATACGACCATATACCACCCCTACTTTTTCTCCAACTCCTTACACATACCCCCCAACAACATTTCTCCCTTCCAACTTCACATCCTTTCTTATAAGCCAGTAAGTACGATTAGTGAGGTCCATATGTGTATGGGCAGTAAGTTATTCATTGGACCATGAGAAACCTATCAGTGGCTGCACCCTCAAAAAATAAAAGAGAAAGAATGATTCCCTCTTTGAACAGCTATAACCTGTCAATAGCTCTTCAGTAAGGAGTGGGGCCTGGACTTGTATCCCATCTGTGTGAAACTTTGACTGGCTTGATCTTGTACAGGTGTTATGCAGGTACCCACAGCTGCTGTGAGTTCCAGAGTGCAATAGTCGGGTCATGTCTAAGAGACTGCATTTCATAGCATTCCTCCCCGTGCTCTGGGTCTTACAGTCTTCTAGGGTGTTCCCCAAGCCTTGAGAAATGGGCTGGGTGGTAAAGATGGCCATTGTAGGGTTTAGCCCTCAGCCTTTGATTCACAGCATTTTAGCCAGGTGAGTCTCTGTATTATCCCCTGCCCATTGAAAAAGGAAGTTTCTTGACCAAGGTTGTGAACAGATCAGGTCTATTGCTATAAACATAATTGGATTCTATTGTTTCTACATCCTGAATTGACTTTCTTATCTCACTCAGCTCTTGGTGTTCTCTTGGAATTCATTCAGGAGTCCATTCATGTCTCCTTTGCGTTCTTTGAATGTATTTATAGTTATTCTCTTGGTTTTCTTTTCTAGTTTCATTTAAGTTGCCATCACTGAGGGTTATACTAGGGTTATTTTTGTACTGGGGTCTACTCATGTACAATTCAGTCATTGTTTAAGTGTTGTTGTTATTGCTGCTGTTGATTCAGTTCACCTGCTTGCAGTGGAAGTCTTGTGGTATACATAGAGACTGGGTTGTAATTATGTTGGGATATTTTCTTATTTTAGATGGGTGTTTAGAGCATGAGGCCCTATTCTCAGACCTCTCCTGAGAGTTGATTACTATCTGCAACAATAGTCACCATCCAGCAATAAGCTGAGAGTAGCAGTTGACTACAACACAGCCACTCCTTAAGTACCAGTTGTTTTAGGAAATAAAGGAACAGCATTAGTACTACGCAGTACTAATGCATTAGCTATTGTGGGTATAAAAACAAATAAGAAAGAAATCTCACATAGGAAGCAGAGAAGGAGGAGGGCACACAGAAGAGGGAGTGGCTGAGCAGGGAGAGAAAATTGGGGGATGGGGAAAAGTGGGAGTGTGGGTAATGGTAGATGAGAAGAGATGGGTAAAAATATACACTCAGATAACACAACAGTCTCAGCTCCCAGGAAGCTGAGGTGCAGAGATGCTGGTAGCTTTAATTGAGGCACGGAGACACTGATTAGCTTTAACTGGCAACTTGGTCCAACCTAGCATCACCCAAGAAGAAAGAAGAGCCTCAATTAAAAAATTATCTAGATAACACTAGCTCCTGGAATGTCTGTAGGAATTTTCTTCTTAACCTAAGTGTGGGTGTCTCCATTTCTTGGGCTGAGCCCTGACCTGTATACAGATGAAGAAAGTTAGCTGAAAGCAGGCAGGCAGCATGGGTACACTTGTTTCTCACTGCTCTTGACTGAGGATGTGATGTCACTAGCTTGAGTCTCTGCCTTGACTTCCCTGAAATAATGGACCATGACCTGGAACTATAAGCTGAACAAACCCCCTCCTTCCCCACGTGGCTCTAGGTCAGGATGGTTGTCACAGCAGCAGAAGTGAAACTAGAATGTCCTGTAATTCAGACAGGCCTCTGTTCTTTTAGGGATAGAGAGAAGGAGTGTGTACAGAGAAAAGGGAGGAAAGACATGAATGGCGGAGGACTAAAGAGACCTACGGTGACCTTGGGTATGACATCAATCAGGAATAGCTCTAGACAGAAATGAGAGCTGTGTGGAAATAGGTTGGGACCAGAGTCTCTGCTCATTCCCTGGTCTCTGAGGGCGCTCTCACTGAGGGACCAAGTCTCCCTGTATTCTTTAACCTCAGAGGGGGACTGATGGAGGAATACAGTCTGGGTGTACACCCTGACCTCAGAGGGTAACCATGAGTAAGGACTGAAGTTTTGGCACACTTCCCTGGTCTTAGAAGTGACCGAAGGTGGGGAACTAAGACTTGGTACACTCCCTAACCTCAAAGGATACTCTAGAAGCTCCAAAGTCTTAAACAATGTCTGAACTCAGGGGACAACCTGGATTTCAGACTATCTAGCTACATTTTTCCTGAGTTGGGATATTGTTATGTTGCCCAGGCTATCTCAAACTCTGGGGTTCAAGTGTTCCTTCTGTTTGGGCCTTTCTAGTACCTGAGAGTATAGGCTCATACCTCTGAGCCTGGTTTTGGCTACATTTTTAAATTGTTCAAGTGTGTGTGTGTCCCACATCTGAATGCTAACCACAATTAGGCTCACTATTTACCTGTAATTTTTCAAAGTTGTTAGAATTTTAGTTAGTGTTTTTATTCTTATCAACACAAATACCCATTAACCAATGGGACTATACTACAACTTAATATAGTATCTGCATGGCACTTTCATGCATGTGTCTGCCACCCATTTTCAAAGTGTCTTCTCGATACCACAGGAAATCCTACAAGCACCAAGATTTTCCATCATTCACAGAGAAAAACTCACAGTTCAGACAAAATAATTTATTGCAATATATACAGTAAATCATGGGCAATGCCAAGAACTGGAGCTTAAACAATCTAGAATGTTTACACTGCCCTTTCCACCCACAAGTTTCAATCCCTTCCTTTTCTCCTCTCAACACTCACAACCTACCACAGAGCCTTCTGAGACAGCACTCTGCGCTGTGCTGGCCATGAGTAATTCCCACTTTCCATCTTCTCAGCCTAGCTGAAGGGGAATGAGACAACACCTCAAACAACTCTCTTCAGGTTTTCTTGCTTCTATAACAACAAGCTCAAGACTGTCCGCACCCTCAACTGGTGTGAATCCCCCACTTCAAATAAATACTGTCCCCTTGAGACCACCAGCTCTGTCCCTGTCCTCAGCTTCTGGGCATTCATCTACTTGTCAAATTGATTTTCTTTTTATTGAAAAAAATCTAGAGGTATGTGATGACAGGGGAAGAGATTTCTTAAAAAAAAAAAAAAGGAGAGAGGGTCAGATAGGACCATGACAGGAACCAGATTGCAATTTTAAAAAATAAGTCTTGAAGGGTTATAAACAATAATTACAAGCTAGATGTACTGAGGCAGAGTAGCATCAGCCCACACGGGCTTTTGTGTCTGTTGGACTTCTCCTGGATCTGAGTCAATTTCTCTTCTAAAGCTCTAGTAGAGACTGATCAGTGTGCCACACTGGCCTCAGATGCAAAAATTCACAGCAACATAATTATTTTCCTCCAGCAAACCTATAATCACACATGTCTGTATTTTATCCAAATGGGTAAAATTACAACTCACCAATTTCCCCCTTACTACCACAGAATGGGTCTAGAGGGAAATAGCAAATCCAGACCTGCCAAGTCCACAACAGAAGGCAGGATTCAAGCAAAATAGGCATGGCAGAAGACAGCCACGGCCAGCAGGATGATGCCGTTAATGTTTACCACTGTCCGCCACAAAGGCTTCTCAGACGTGTCTGTCATCTTCAGTTTCATGGCTTCCTCCTCTTCCTTAGTCATCTTTGGTCCTTTGTCCTGGTCTAGCCCACAGAACATGTCATATGCCCTCCTGAAACATCCTTTCTCCTTTTGGGGAGCTTCTGTGTCTACAGAAAGACATAAAAGGATTATTGGCTACAAGGTCTGAAGCAGTGGTTCTTCCTAATGCTGCAACCCTTTAGTATATAGTTTGCCATGTTGTAGTGACCCCAAGACCATAAAATTATTTTCATGTTACTTCAGAACTGTACTTTTGCTATTGTTATGAACTGTAATGTAAATATCTGATATGCAGATGGTCTTAGGCATCCCCTGTGAAAGGGTCATTGACTCCCAAATGGGTCATGACCTACAGGTTGAGAACCATTGGGCTAAACTGACTAGAAAGAGTTTCCAGGGACGATGGAATACCACAGAACATTTACCATTCTATAGGAGTATCCCAGTTCTCTTGTTTTCAGGAATGGAAATTGAATACAATGTTCAAAGATTGAGACAGAGTTGAACTGGATTCTGTATTCTCATGATCAACTAGTCTTAGTTTTATCTCTTCCAGGACCAATAAAAATGTGCTTTGATTTGGAATAGTCAGATAAAATGATAGATTATGAGAGGAATATTCTAATAATAAGATGGGCAACTGACTTAGGGAGACTATAGTAAACCTACCTCTGAAATATGGAACCTGTATCCGTTTGCTACATCACTGGATGGCAATGAGGCTGGCCTGACTCAGAGGGGAACTGGCTGCACTTGCCTATTCTGAGGTTTCACAACAGACCCATCCAAAGGGTGAGGGTTGCTATGAACATGTCCTGATGCAGAACAACAGCAGTCAATATTTTGGGGCTTAAAACATGCTGGTGCATGTTAACACTGCTAGATCAAACCATCCAACTGGTGCTGACACCCAAAGTGGATGCCCAGCAAGGGAACAGATTCCCTCCTTGGAGGTCAGTTGTGGCACTGGAGACAGACAGACATAGTTTCAAACACCAGCTCTGCCAGTCACCAGCTGTGAGATCAACCCCACTCTATGTCTTATTTTTATTTATTTATTTATTTATTTATTTATTTATTTATTTATTTATTTTGTTTTTCAAGACAGGATTTCTCTGTGTAGCTTTGGTGCCTATCCTGGCA